TGGAGACCCGGGATCGAATCCCACATCGGGCTCCCGGTGCATGGAGCCTGCTTCTCCCTCTGCCTGTGTCTCTGCCTCTCTCTCTCTCTCTGTGACTATCATAAATAAATAAAAATTAAAAAAAAAAGAACTCTTCTCCTTTAAAAAAAAAAAACAAAAAGCTCATTTATTTTTTAAAAAGATTATTTATTTATTTATTTATTTGACAGAGAGCAAGAGGGAGAGAGAGAGAGCACAAGCAGCAGGAGTGGTGGCCAGAGGGAGAGAGAAAAGCAGGCTCTCCCAGGACCCTGAGATCATGACCTGAACCAAAGACAGTTGCTTAACTGACTGAGCCACCCAGGAGCCCCCAAAATGCTCTTTTAGATCAGTGTTTTTCAAAGTATGTTCTGGGAACCCTGGAAAATGCCTGGAACTCCTTTAAGTAGTCATTGAGGTTACAACTATTTCCTAGGAACACCAAAATGTTATCTGCCTTGTTCTAGAATTCTCCAGAAGTTTCACAATATGCAAAGGTGGAAGAGATTGTGTGATCGCCCAGGTGTCCTCTATTAAGAAAGACATTAAGGACGTTGGCAAAAGTCTAAAGCAATGCTGCTCTTCTAAGTACTTTTGTCTTGGAAAAAAAATGATTATTTCTCATTTTTAAAAATATCGTAACATATAATGGGTTTGCTATTGTTCTCACATGAATTAATAAATATTTTAGCTATTTCGATTTTAATTTCCAATGTGGTAAATATTACTAGGTATACGTATAAACAAAAGCTCTCTGAAGTCCTTGGTGATGTTTAAGAGTGTAAAAAGAGCGTAAAGAGGCCCTCCTGAGACCAAGAAGTTTGCAAGTCGCTAGTATAGAGTATACACTTTTGTTGCCACTCCCTGCTTAAATTTATGCCAGCTGACTTTTAGATGGTGCTTCCTGCCCTGGGTCATCATGCTGAGTGGCCGAGAGCCAATTTTCCTTTCACCTCCTTGGTATTCCTATAAAGCAGATACCATGATTGACCCCAAAAAGAGAGAGTGAGCCAAGGCTGGGGGGTTGGGTGGCATGCCTGAGGTCAGGCACTGGGCCAAAGCTCAGCCCTGCTGCCCGCAAAGGCCCCTGCCCTTCACCAGCACAGCCGCTGTCCACCCTCTTCACCCTCCAGCTTTCTTCTCTTAGTCACTCTCTGAGTCAGCCATCGTGAACGTATCTACTCATCTTTGAATCATCCTCTCCTTTTGCCTTGAAATGATCTGAATTCCCTTTCCAAGGCAGCAGAGGGTGGGAGTGGGGGGAGCCCCTCAAGGGGCTCTGAGGCTGGCTTCCTACAGCTGGAGCTGCATGCAGTGTGGCCAGTCCCCAGGCTTCTGGGCAGCAAGAGCCAGAAGCCAAGGGACATGCACAGGATGCAGGCCTGGAAACAGATCCTCCACAAAGGCGGTGCTAGAACACACAATATTTGCCAGACGGGGTCTGGAAGGCAAGATTGCCAATGCCTAGGAATAGAAAGGTAAATCCTCTTCCTTTGGCTTTCTTTGCCTTGGGCCCATAGGTGGGGAGGAAGTGTTAAATCAGACATCTGCCTCTTACTCATATCCATCTCTTAATCTCTCCTCCTACTCGCTGACTTTCTTCATTCAGCAAATACAATGGTGTGATAAGTGGGTCGTGATGGGGAAATAACAACAGCTAACATCAATTGGTGCAAAAGGATGCCGGTGCCTGGAAATGAGGCTGAAGAAGAAAATGAGAGCCAGCTCATGGGTTGAGATCTTACATGCAAGGTTTAATCAAGGGAGCAACCTATTCAGCTTTGCTCTTTACAAAGATCTTCTGACTGCAGAGTGGAGAATGGATTGCAGAAGAGCAACGAGGAGGCAGAAAGTAATGGTGTCTGGAATCAGCATAGGACTAGTAGGGATGGATGAAAGCAAGTGACAGAGAGGCTGGGAGCAAAGATGTGAATGGTTTCCGATATGCCTAGAATTATGGCCCTAGTCTCCTACCCACGGTGCTCATCACCAAGCTTTTTTTTCCTTGCAATTAACCCTGAACATCACCACCAGATTAACCTTCCTTAAACATACACTTATCACCTTGTGGAGTACTAAACAGCCTACAGATTTAATGCGTTTGCTCTAGAATCAAAGAGCCTGGGTTCAAATCCTACCTCGGCCACTTTCCTTAAAAAATGAGACACTGAAAAGAATGCTTATATCACAAGGTTGCTGAGTCAGTGCACACAAGAGCACCACTATCTGTATACAGTATTCCTCCAAAAAAATATATGTTACTGGGACACCTGGGTGGCTCAGCAGTTGAGCGTCTGCCTTTGGCTCAGGGTATGATCCCGGGGTTCCGGGATTGAATCCCACATCAGGCTCCCTGCATGGAGCCTGCTTCTCCCTCTGCCTGTGTCTCTGCCTCTGTGTGTGTGTGTGTGTGTGTGTGTGTGTGTGTCTCATGAATAAATGGATAAAATCTTTTTTAAAAAAAGAAATTTAAAAAAATCTATTACTATTGTGGCATTTGTGTACTCAGGAGCCTTCAATAGAAAACCTTCTATTTCTAGGGCCCCTGGAAAGCTCAGTTGGTGAAGTATCCAACTCTCAATTTGACTCAGGTCATGATCTCTGGATTGTTAGATTGAGCCCCTCTTTGGCCTCTGCACTCAGCAGGCAGTCTGCTTGAGATTCTCTCCCTCTCCCTCTGCCCCTTCCTTTCCCACCTCTGTCCCCCTACTTGTAGGCACTTTCTCTCAAAAAAGAAAGAAGAAAGAAAGAAAGAAAGAAAGAAAGAAAGAAAGAAAGAAAGAAAGAAAGAAAGAAAGAAAGCCTTCTATTTCCACTTGCTAAAATACCAAGGCCTGCCTCTCCAGAGCTGTCATAATCTAGGCTCATCACGTTACCCAGCCCCATTAGATTCTATTCCTCAAATATGCCCATAAATACACTGGATACAGCACCTTTATGCCTTGTTCACACTGTTTCCCTCATCTCAAATGCCTTTCTTTTCCCCATTTACCCTCCCCAATCCTTCTGTCCCTTAAATGCTCATCACCACTTCTAGAAAAATGACTCCAAATGCAGTGACTGGTGACCATACCTGTACAATCATTTTCCCCCAAGCAGGACAGCATGTCATTCCTCCTAGGAGGCTATCACCCCAAATAACTCACAAAGCCACTCACGCTCATACCTGTCACTGCTTTCTAAATGCTAAGTATTCACAGAAGGCCCAGAGCAGAAACTTGTCTTTCCCATGCTTTGGGGAGCACTATGGATGCTCTCAGAAGCCCATAAATAAAAAATAACTTTGGTATGAGTTAAGTTTTCATTAGGACCATCAGCTATGAAATATTTAAAGGCTCTCTTGGGTTATTAAACCAAAGCAATGTTGTGTGTAAAAAGGAGATAGGACCAAAAATATATGAATTAATTGACCAAAACATATTTTAAGGGAAGCAATGTCTTACCCTAAGCAAAACTTCATAAAGCTCATGTGTCCTTCTACACTTCACGTCTTTTTGTTTTTACGCCTTTATTGAGACATGATTGATAAACAACAGATTGCACAATACTAAAGCACACAGTTTGATAAATCTCATGTTCTTTTAACCACAAAGCTTTGTAACAATCAGACTTTGTCTCAGACTACTTAAAATTCTCTTATATTTTCAAACATGATAGGGTAATGATAAAACCCAAGTTTGCCTACAGTGAGGCTTTCTGCATCTGTAAGTTACTAGAAATTTCACTTGGTTGGAAACATGTGTTCCAGAATTTGAAATTCAGAAACCAAAAGGATTTCTTTTTCATTGACAAATTAGAGCTTTGCATTTTCAAACCAGGACATTGGAGGCACTTGATTTGTTCTTGGCTGGAAATAAGAGATTTTCTCTAAATTGGGCCCCTCGTTAACTATAATCTCTCTATAGATTGTACTCTGTTCAATAGAGTTTGTTGAGAGACACAGGAGAATTTCTCTCAGTGTTCCCAGAGAGGTTCAGAGAGAATGCCAACCAGCAGACCCTGGCAAATGTTGACTTTTTATTGATTTGCTTATTCAACCAGCATTTACCAAGCCCCTGTTTTTTGCTGGGCTGGATAGCCCTGCCCCATCAGTAGCTCACAAACTATTTTGAGACGTAAGGTATAAATTGTCAGTCCCTGCAGTGACCCAGCAAGCAACTGCATCTATGAACTGTGGGAAGCCAGCATGGGAAGGAAGCTGGCAGGCCAGGATCCAGTGCACTCCATACACATTCCCTGCCCCCCGCTCCCCGCCCCCCGCCATAACAACCTGGTTTATACAGTAAAGTTTCTGACTCAGTTTCCCAGATTCTTAACTTCTCAATATTTTTTCCCTGGGATATTCTTTCTGGAACTAAAATATTTCCCCGAACCCTAGCCTGCTTAGGTAAGCCCCAACTGTCAGTGACTTTCTCCAAAAAAACAAAAAACAAAACAAAAAACTGGCTCTGATTTCCTGATCCCTTAGCTGCTGGCTAATGTCCAGTTGCAAATGGACTCATCATCCAAACTGGCCTGGCCACTGAGTCACCTTGGGCTCTTGTCAAAATCATAGATTCTTGGGCCCCAACCCAAGTCCATTTGAATCAGAAATTTGGGGGAAACGGAGGCTTTCCAGATGAGGAGGCTGAGGTTCAGAGAGACTAACTTATAGACCGAGATCCATAGGTGTGAGTTCAGAGCCAGGAAGAGACTCCAGATATGTTCAGTCTCACCTTCTTGATTTCATACCTGGACATGCGAGAGGGTGTAGAGCCATGTTTGCTTCAGCCCCAGCCCCTGTCTTCAACCACAGCTTCCTAACTCCCTTTCCTGGAGTCATTCATTTCCTCAGGCTCTTCAGAACATAATCCTGGGTCACAGACTCAAAAGCCCATGATAACAGGAGGGCACAGGAGGTGACTAACACAGATTGTGCTGGAAGGTGGAGCTCTGGGAAATGGAAGAGTTCTCTCATGTCCAGTGGGGCAGCGGCTACTCACCGACAGGCTGTCTCCCAGGGAGAATGTGGGCCCATCTTCACTGAAAGATCCAGATTTTCGGGTGAAATCTCAAAACAGCAGTCCCATGATGACATTACAGTGTCTAACACTCCCCTTCAGGGACCTGAGAGAGAAAATCTGTGGTTGGTCTTGAAGAAGCAAGTTGCCGTGCTGTGCACTGCAGCCTAGCAAAGGGGGAGGCCACATGGCAGGGAACCACGGGCGGTCCCTAGGCCTGAGGGCCTCAGTCCTAAAGCCACAAGGAACTAAATTCTGCCAACAACCTTGTGAGCTTGGAAGAAGATCCCATGTTCCAGAAGAGAGCGCAGCCCCTCCAGCATTTTGCTTGTCCCTTTGTGAAACCCTAAGCAGAGGACCGAGCTAAGCCACACCCTGACTCCTAACCTCCAGAAACTGCAAGATAATAAATGTGTGTTATTTTAAGCTACTAAGGTTGTGGTAATTCTGTAATTCTTACACAGCAATGGCAAACCAACACCCGCTCCACGGTCTACTCTTTTCAGTGCTTCAAACTGCAAATGCTCCTTCTCCCCATCTGCCATCAACATTCCCATCCCTAACCACCCTGATTCCAGTTGGCTGCCAAGAGAGAAATGAATTTGGCAAACTTATTTACCATTTACAACTTACCTCCCCCTGCTAGGGAGTCTTTGCATTTTGAAAGAGAAGGCTCAGAGAGGTGCTGGATTAATCAAATACACGACTGACTCAAAAAGTTAGAAATTCAGAAAAGCGCTGCAGAAAAGTGGAAGGACTTTGGTGCCTGGAGATTGGGCCTAAGCCCATATCATAGTCTTTACCTAGGAATAAGGTAAGCCCAGGCAAAAACACTCTACAGTTGGAACAGGAGCCACACTGTCATTTATTAGTAAGATATATTAGGGAAAGTCTTCATTTTCTTCTGTCAAGTAGGGGTGCTTGTTGTGAGGATCATGCCTGTTGATGTATGCATGTAAGGCAATGGAAAATATATATTGGTCTCTGCCCCCAGTGACTGTCACAGAGCTCCTAAACCCTTGTAATTTCCTGGGTTAGGAATGTCTTTTGTTCTCATGAGGCAAAATCTGGATGGGCTCCTGGATGTCTCCTGGATGAAGAAGGGTGGCCACAGAAAAGACAAGCCATGATTAGAAGCTTAGAATTTTCAGCTCCACACCCCACCCTCCATTCTCTTGAGGAGGGAGAAAGGCCAGAAATAGAGTTAATCACTGATCCTGTCTCCCATAAAATCATCCTAAAACCTCAACAACGTGGGATTTGGGGAACTTCCAGGTTGGTGAACGCATCTGCATCCCAGAGGGTTACACACCCCAACTCCATGGGAACAGAAGCTCCTGTACTTGGGACCTTCCCAGACCTCACCCTGTGTATCTCCTCACCAGCTCTCCACCTGTTTCCTTCATTGTATCCTTTAATAAACTGGTAAGCCTAAGTGTTTCCCTGAGTTCTGTGAACCACTTTAGCAAACTAATTGAACCTGAGGAGGGGATCATGGGAATTTCCCCTTTCTAGCCAATCGGGTAAAGTTGTGCGTAGCCTGGGGACCTATGATCTCATCTGATGGCGGAGCCTGTCTCCTGACTAAGCCCTTGACCAGTGGGATCTGACCCTAATTCAGAATTGAGTTAAATTGTAGAACATCATTGATAGCAGAGAACTGCCTGCTGGGGTCACACATCTGGTGACCAGAAGTGTCAGAGGCATCGTAAATGTGATAGCCATGTGAGAGTAAAGGAAAACACGGGGAGGAAAAGACTGCGTTTTTCTACTCGGTGTGAAAGCACTCTTTAAGTAGAGAAATGCATCCACAAAAACAAAACACAGTGATAAGGCAATCACAGGTCATTTAAGCCAAAAAAGTTCCCAGTGCACACATTCTGATTTCAGCCCTGCAGCTTCAGCACTGACCTTGCCCGGGTCTGTTGTCAGACCTCTGTCTCCTTGCCACCTCTCAGTTTCAGCCACAGGCTGACATTTACTTCTCGCTTCCATGTAGCTGACAAAAGCCAGGGAGGGACTGAGATGACACTCCTCTCACATCCCAGCACGTAAATAACCAGGGAGGAAGAGGCCTCCAGGAAGGTCACGCAGATGTCTGGGGAGTCCCCTGACACCAGACCAAAACAGCCCATCAAAGTCCCCACCATCCAAGAACGAAATCACCCCTAGTGAGACCCGGTGTCTGAATCCTTCAAGCCCAAGCAGTCAGGCTCCCGAGAGTTCGAGAACTGTTTCTCATTAGCAAGGACCCACAGTAGCCAAGTCCACATTTCAAAGGGCAAGAGGAAGCAACCCCTTTTCTCTGATGTCTGTGTGGCTTACAGAGAAACCCACGTTAGGCATGGTGTTTTATTGTATTCAAATAGATAAGAAAAAAAGAGTGGGAAGGAAGAAAAGAAGATGATTTATCCTCTTTATAGTCAAACAAACAAAGAAAACACAGGAAAAGAAAATAAGCCATTCCTGTTTTAAACACAGGGGTGGAAGTCAAGGATTACATGACTGTTTGGAGGAGGGGAAAAGACTCTCATTCCTCAACTAAATTATTAAATTGTAGAATTTAGTACAGATAATAACATAATAGTAATTCTAAAACAGCTGCTACAATATTAAATATTTACTGAGTTCCCCACGTGCCTGGCACTATGTGACAAGCTCTCCATGCATGCACTCTCAGACCTCACGACAGCCCCCAAGGAAAGGTGTCACCATTGCCCCAATTTCACTGATGAGGAAACCAAAGCTTAGCAAACGTAAGCAATTTATACAAGGTCATACAACAAGCAAATGACAGCTGGCCCTCGAAGCTGGCTAGGTCTGCCTCCAGTGCCTGTGCTCTTCCCCATGATGCCATCCTGCCCCCTCAAAGTGGAAGGACACAGCTGTGCTCCCACAGTTCAGAAGGGCCCAGAGGCTGACCACAGATCTGCCTCTGCTTCTCCCACCATTGTTCTTCCAAAAGCCTTGTCAGATGTGCCTGAAGAAAAGACTCTCTCCCTGGTTCCGCAGACCTCACAGTGACCCTCCCCTCTTCAGAGAAAAGATTATGAGCCCCACACAATAGCTGTTAATATTAACATTAGCATTGGGATCCCTGGGAGGCTCAGTAAGTTAAGCATCTGCCTTTGGCTCAGGTCAAGATCTCAGGGTCCTGGGATCCAGCTCCACATTGGGCTCCCCGCTCAGTGGGGAATCTGCTTCTCCCTCTGACCCTCCTCCCCACTTTCATTCTCTCTCTCTCTCTCTCTTTCTCTCTCTCTCTCGGCCTCAAATGAATGAAATCTTTTTTAAAAATATTAACATTAGCATCAACACCATTGGTACCTTTTTCTTCTCCAGAAATAAAACATACCATTTTCAAAAAGTGGGAATCTTCTTTATCAGAGACAATCTAGATAATGCCACCTCCCCTCAAGCTTGGTGCCAAACAAACAAATGGATATAGATATAGTCTCCGAATATAGTCTCGGAAAAAGTCGTTGGCTTTGCCTAGAACATTTTCCCCTGTGTGGCCAGGACTTGACCCAAAAGCAATACCCTTTTATATTGTTGAGGTACTTTGCAAGACAAGATTGGATTTTGATTATCATCTTCTTTAACGACTTAAAATTAGCATGCAAGAGAGAGTTGGGAGCTAACATGTTTACAGTAGCATGGAAGAAAGAAAAATAGGCTAAAAATTATCAATTGTTTGTGACCTGAAATGAACAGTGCATTTGGAGAATGTAAAGTCTAAGCAGAAATGAGAGTGAAAGCCATGGTGGCCTCTGCATGGCAGGGTAGGTGACATTAGATGGACATACGGTACCCAAAAAGGTCAGTGTTAGCTTCGATATTGCTTTCTTATTGTCGCTCTTCCACAGAACAGATCTAGTCCTTCCTGCTGCTGGGAGTTTTCAGGATTACAGTTTGGAGGTGTATCAGATTAAAAAGGAGGAAGGGAAGAAGCCAAGGAGGGAGGACCAGAAGGAAGACGGATGCAAAAAGGAAGAAAGGAGAAAAAAGTGGAAAAACAAAAACATGGACCCCAAGTTTAGCCCAGCAGGGACAAGTAAAATATGTAACAGCAACAAAAAGGTTTTCAAGTCTCCAAGTACGAAACTTCATGAAATCTAGATATTAAGATAAAACCAAAAAGTATCAGAGAGCATACTGGAATTCTTGGTATCAGAATCTGACCTATAGGGATGCCTGGGTGGCTCAGTGGTTGAGCGTCTGCCTTCCACTCAGGGCATGATCCCGGGGTCCTGGGATCGAGTCCCACATCAGGTCCCTATGGGGAGCCTGTTTCTCCCTCTGCCTGTGTCTCTGCCTCTCTCTCTCTCTCTCTCTCTCTCTCTGTGTGTGTGTGTGTGTGTGTGTGTGTCATGAATAAATAAATAAAATCTGTTTTAAAAAAAGGATCTGTAATTCAGAAGATGATAATAGTGATATTTAAGGCCACAGGAAGGAGTGGAGAGCGTGGTGACACAGAATATTGTTTTGAACGATATTTGTGCTATATAGGTAAACTAAATAGCAGTTTTCCAATTTCTGGTTTTCATAATAATAGCTGTCATTTGTTGAGTGCCTTGTGTCCCCATCTCCATGCTAAACACTATTTGTAATTCTCTATTTGACTTAATCTTCCCAACTGGTGTACCAGACAGCTATAATTATCCTCGCTCATACATGAGAAAACTGAAAATGAGAGAGGGTAAGTTGCTCAAAGATACACAGGTAGTAAGAGGCAAAGCAGCTCGTGAATGCCAGCCCCGTGTGGCCAGAGTACTCTCAAACCTGCTCAGTCACAAGCATCACCATTGCCACCAGCAGCATCCAAACAACACCTGTTGAGCAGTTTACGGAAGGTATCACCTCTGGTCCCCACCATTACCCCTTGAGGTGGTAACTCTTATTACTCCCATTTTACAGAAAAGGAAATTGAGGCTCAAGTGATTAAATAGTGCCCGAGTTCACCTAGCCAGTAAGGCAGTGGAGTCAGGATATGAACTCAGACAAACTGACCTCATACACCAAATCACTGCATGCTTCAATATTCCAACATTCCTTCATAGCTAAGAGAAGCCTAAGAAAATATGACAACTAAATGTAGTAACTAAT